TACAATCACTCATTACATAATCGTATAAAATTCATTATCGAGATTGAACAGGATAACTCTATTAATTTTTTAGATTCGATTTTTTCATTTACCATAAACCTTCACACACGGACAAAGTCATACATAACAACTCAAATCACCCTTATACCACACAAAATGGCTGCATTTAATTCTTTTATACACAGACTTCTTAATACCCCACTCTCAACAGAAAATTACAACAAAAAACTTAATGTCATTAAACAAATTGCCATGATCAACGGCTACCGTCCGTCCACTATCGATAAAATTATAAATAAAAAACAAATCCAGGCAACAGTAAACTCTATTTAACCGAAACCTAATATAATAACATTAACGAACATAAAAGGGAGTTTAAAAACAATACTCCGGATTCTAATTATGCTACACACTTAAACACAAAAAAACACAAATTTTTGTCGACAATTTTGATATTTTACGTACAACCACAAAAAGTAGGAAATTAAATTTATTGGAAGCCATGGAGATTAACAAAATGACACATTCAAATGTATTGCTTAATGATCGATTAGATTTAAAGAGCTCTCCATTATTACACTTAAATTCTCACAACAACGTTAATTAATGTTTTATTGTCATTTTTCGGTATATATATTTGCGCATTTTTTTTTAACGAACTTTAAAATTTACTTAGTGCTACCTAACGTTTAACAAAAGTATTTTTAGCAATTCAGATGAGATGCCTTAAAGCCCTTAAAATTTAATGCCCGATAAGTATATGAGGCGTAGAGTATTTTATCGAATAAAAACTATTGAACTACCATCAGTATCATTTTAACCGTTAATGAAAAAAAATTGTTATTGGTATTTATAAGACTTTTGAAAGTTATAAACATGTAAAGATAACCAGAATTTCCGATTGTAATTACGAAAACCAAATTTTGGTTAATTTTTGAGGTGGGCCTCCGTGAGGCTAATTGGCAATCAATGTAAAAACGTAGACAGTTTCAGGCAGTCGTTTTTTACCATAATATAATTTTAAATGTCTGCCCTTCATATCTCTTTGAAAAAATAAAATACCGAACTGATGCCCACACTTTGAATATTCGATATAGTTTTCCTACTGTGTCTACAAATGGTATAATGCTCTTCCCAATAACGTAACAAATTATAAAACTTTTCTTTGTAATCGATCCATTAGTCAAATATAATTAGCCGAACTAGATTTATATTAATAAGATACTGTACAGTTTTTATTTCTATCTATACACGTTAATGTATCATAATATGTTAAGAAATAAGTAGCTATGAAATAAGGGACTGGGTTTTGATCGTTTTTCAAATTGTTTCCCAGTTAATTTTTTTACTTTGTGCTTTTGGTTTACTTGCTAATAAAGAAATGTAAACACGAACTGCAAAAAATAAGCGAATATTATTATTATTAAAAACCTAGGTTGATTATGTACCTGGAGAGATGGATAGATACTACAGACCTTTTGTTCTAACAACGTCAACATTGCATTTCGGAAAAGAGATGGATATATCTACCCCTCCAATATTTCTATACGTAATCCTCAGGCTGATCTTTAATGTGCAGTATGGACGGCTTGCTTCCCAGTCTTGCCGCATGCGTGGTACGTACGGCCAAGTTTCATGGGAGTTCCCTTTCTGTTTAATTCATTTGAAAAGCAACAATTTCGTACTTTTTGATCAAGTTAACAAGATTTGCAGTGTACAAAATAAAATAAAATTGTATTTATTTTAGTGCACGGAAGTATTAATATTATAGTTTCATTTTCATTTTAATTAAATAATATTAGATTATAATATGTATTTAAAATCAAACTCAAAAAATTACATTAATAATATAATTTTTAGATTATAAATTCAAATATGAGCGATAAAAAAAAGTAAAAACCGTTCAAACGAAAATTTAAAGAAAGGGTTTCAGTTCCTTGCAGTTAAATGCACAATCTGCAAGAGGGAATTTTCAATTACAATTCATGGTCGTAATACTAACACGAATTTAACTACTAAATAAATTAATACTAAATACTAATTTTTTAAGATCTTCTGAAACGAAATATTTTGGTGATTGATTGTTATGCCCACATCACAGCAATACAGCAATACTTTTTTTTTGGGCTGTGCTTTTAGTTTACTCCTAAGAGACAAACGCAAATACGAACCACAAAAAATGAACAAATATTATTAAAAAACTAGTTTGATAAGCTATCAACTGGGCTACCAATAAACCATCGTATTTTCAAAATAATCGTAATTAAGTAGCAGGACCTCCCACTCGCACAGATATAAATATAACAACAAATATTTTTAATATTTCTGCTGTTTTTTTTTATCACCGGAAATACATTGCACCGAAAACGCTTCGTCGCCATTCCCGAAAGATTCCAGCGCATATCTACAGACGGGTGACATTTTTAGAAGGCGTATATATATATATATATATATATATATATATATATATATATATATATATATATATATATATATATATATATATATATATATATATATATATATATATATATATATATATATATATATATATATCGGTAGGCGCCAAAATGCATTCTTCTACTTTTAACGACGAACCCAACTATTTTGGTGCAGCTTTCTTCCAACAAAAAACGGCTACCAGTGCAGACAAGCATAAGACCGTTATATTTAAGAGTATTAAGAAAATTTTTTGTAGAAATATAAATTAAGACAGTCAGTAAGGTGAACATGATTACTTAATTTTTAAATAATAACTTCATTAGTCATTGTATTCCTTTTACTAAGAGAAACTATGTGAAAAATAAAATATAAAAATGACAGATTAAATTGCCAAGTAATTTTTAATGAAAATACCTATAACTAAAGTGTTCTCTTTTCAAAAGTAGTCATTTGAATAATTTTTTAAGATTATTTTATTTCAATTTTATTAATAAATTATTTTGACAGTGATTTGAATGTCGCGCGCGCGTACGGCTGCCGTTTCCGGTACAATTGAGAGGACGTATTATGTATGGTCTGTTCATAGATATAAGAAAGTGACCAATTGCTTTTGAATGGGAGTATCGAATGGTGGTCATTAGCATACAACGCAAGAAGATTATTACCCAAAGTGTCGGAATTTAAATTCAGGTAAAATTGTATTCCGTAGTACAAATTAATTTTATACCTACCTGTGTTTAATATAATATTCTTTGATTTAGTATACCATTTAGTTTAAGTTTATTAGTAATCATTCTTATTTCGTGTATAATACAGCGTGTGTTGATTCGTGTGCGAATTATACAAAATATGTGCGAGTCTGGTGTATCTCACGAGATGCTCCCGCCCAAATGTAGAAAACACTATTCTATTGAGACTAAGGAAGTTGTAAACAATGTTTATTTGACTCTCATTGAACGTGGTGCCAGCAAGCAAGCATCTTTAGACGAAACGGCCACATTAACGAAAATTCCAACATCAACTGTATGGAAAATTGTGAGTAATCCCATTTAAGCGAGGAAAAAAAGAAGCGATGCTGACATTTTCTCGAGTGTACATGAAAGTGATCAAGATATAATACGGCGTAAAATTTACCAGTTATACGAGGAACAGAGCGTGCCTACATTAGATGTCTTAATTAGGAGGCTTGAAAAAGATGAAACCGGTGTTAAATGTGGCAGAACTACCTTATGGAACTGTATTCAACACATGTGTTGTAGATTTAAAAACATTGATAAAAGGTAAGTTTTAATGGAATCTTTTAGAATTCAAAAATGGCGACTGGAATATCTACAAAAAAAATAGGATTTACAGAGAACAACAAAGGAAAATTATTTCCTTGGATGAGACCTGGTTCGACACTTATAATACCCCGGAAAAGGATTGGGTTGACTCAACTGATAAGTTAAAAACAGACGCGCCATCAAAAAGAGGTACAAGCATAACTATTTTGCATGCTACCTCTAAAGATGGTTGGATTCCAAATGGACTTTCTCTGTCTGCGAAAAATATTAAAGATTCTTCTCTGGATTACCATGAAGCCACCACCGCTGATTTATTTGAAGGTTGGTTTAAAAACAAGCTAGTTCCAAACATTTCTCCTAATAGCGTAATTGTAATGGACAATGCAAGTTATCTCAGTAGCACAGTTGACTAAAACCCTTTCCTCATGTGACACAAAAGCAACAATCCAAAACTACATGTATAATAACGACATTTATTTTCACGAAGATTATACCAACAAGCAATTAATTATGGTTCTACAAAGCTTGAACCTACAAAAGGAATACGTCTGCGATAATTATGCAAAAAATCTAGGGCATACAGTTTTAAGGCTTCCCTTACCACTGTATATTTAATCCCATTGAACATGTTTGGCACCAACTGAAATCTGCCATTCGTCGTAACAATGTTTTTCCCCGTGTTAAATCCAATGTCCTCAAACTTATAGAAACCGAAGTTTTTAACATCCCTCCACAAAGTTGGGCAAATTCTGTTAAACATATAGAAAAAGCAGAACAATCGTATATCCATATTGCAAATGGCGATGATAGCGATAGTGATACTGATATATTATGTGAATAATTTTAAGTAATTTAAGTAGGTAATAACAATAATTTGTAATTTTATTTTGGATTTAAACATAAATACATACATAAATAAATAAATATTGTTTAGTATCTTTCCTAACAAAACCCCAAATAATTAAATCCTAAGCAAAGTACGAACTTGTTCGGCCATATTTCATTCTTACAACTTGCCCCGGTTTTTCCTTAATTCCTATCAGTTAGTCACTTTCTTATATGTATGAACAGACTTTACCATCAACACCTCTTCACAGTCGGAGTAAATCTCTGTTTGGATTGAAAAGAGAGTCGGAGATATGTCGAACAAAAAACATGACGCAAAAACCAGCGACCAGTTTTGTCTGACGTTCCGCTCATACTTTAATTATTGGTTTAACGCGGCGATATAGCGGATAACGATAGTTTCCAGTCTGATAACTTTATTTCTTGCAGTTTTGGGCAGTGATTTCCGAAGAGCATGGCATTGACCCCAGCGGCATTTATACGGGGGACAGCGATTTGCAATTAGAACGGATCAATGTTTACTACAACGAAGCTACCGGTACGTAATGGTATTTAATTAATTGGTTGGCTCTTTTGCGCTCTGTTAAACGCCCAAATCGTTCCCGGGGTTTGTTATTTTAATTGCCCCCCTTATACGAGTTCGCTGTTTTACGACTTTAACGGTGCTTCAAGTTTATACAAGGTGAGACAACTGTAATGTAACAATCACTATCGATGAAATCGAATTTTTAGAAAGTATCTGCGCTCGTATAATAATTTTATATCTCGATAACGGTAGGTCCTATGGGATCGACATTGGTACAGAAATGATCACCGTCGAAAAAGAAATTTTTTTTTGTCTGTCCGTTCTTCGTTCTCCGTTCTCGTCTTTTGGTTTTTCCTGAATAACTTTCGAACCGTTGGAGCTACAAAATTAACATCTGCCTCCTTTTTAACCCTCCACGAGGCACACAAGCTTATAAGAAATGATCCGGATCCGACGTCGGTATCCATGTTTTTTTCGCGATTTTCGACTGATTTTTGGAGTTTGATATGAAACACGATAAGTGTCCGAAATTTGAAGCAATCGACTTCATATTTTGCACATATGCAACTTTGACGGAACCTATTGAAAACGGGGGGACTGGGGGTCTGGAAGTATTCTAAAAAAATTAAAAACGCGTGTGGAAGGGTCTACAAAAAATATCGTTTTGCAATAACCGTTGGCGAGGCCAAAAGAATTCTTGAACCAGAAGACGCAGAAGATACGGCTCAATGAACCTTTATTCTTGACAATTTTTCGAAAATATACAGAGTGCGCCGAAAATTCAAAAAAACTGAAAAATGGGCCCCCCTATTACTGAAAATTGGTTTTAAACTGAAAGACTGATTCAGATCTCTCTTTTATATTGCGATACAGCCCGAGTAGACAGCAAAAACTTTTGTATTTAAGGTTTTCACCTATTGTACAGGATGTTCCCGATATTAAGTGCTAAATGAGAAATGTGTTGAGTATCCTAAATTTGCAGAATCAACTTCAAATTTAGTAGAGAAGTAAAAGTTCGTGTCCACATTTAAACGGTAGAAATTGAACTATTTTTTAAAAAAAATTGATTTTTTTTTTTTTTTGGTAATTGTAGTTTCTAGAAAAATATGTTTTCCTCCATAATCGGTCACCCGATCGGCAAAATTATTTAACCAGCAAAAGCGGAAGATCCAGTGCAATAACATTTATTTCTGGAATTTTTTGATTATATACAGGGTTTTCATATTATAGGCAAAAATCTGAAAGACCTAGAAAATTGTTCTTTTGCAGAGCAAATTATTTGCCGCAAGTCAAAAATCGTAAAAAAAAGGGCTAATTGGTTCAAACAGTATCATAGGCCGCATCAAGGGCTATAATTTTCATATTTGCGGTTTTCGTCCATCACATACGCTGCCCGGGATATTTGAAAAAATCCATATTGAAATCGTCATTTCGATGGCTGTCAAGACGCGATAACGTCATTGTGTATTAAGACGCACTGCATGGTTTTAGAGAAAACTTATTTTCTCGAAAACCATTTACTATTTTCAGAAAATTCTTGAACCAGGAAACGTGGAAAATCCAGGGCTATAAACTCTACTGCGAACAATGATAGAATCATATATAGGGTGTGTCGTTGTATGGACAAAAAATCTAAAATATCCTAAAAATTTCCGTTTAAGTGGATAAATTATTGGCGATAAATGAAAAACCGTTAAAGATGGCATAATTTTATTTGAACAGTATCGTAAACTGTGTCGAGATAGATACTGCTGCTCCTACTTCCCCTTCTGAATTTCTTAGAAAATAAACATTGAAAACAATTTGTTTTGCATCCGAAGAAAAATGGATCCGTTTTTTTTATTTGCTGAGGTAGTTCGTCTTCTTAATTGTCAGTAGGTTCGACTACCACGTCCACTTCGTCTTCGAATTCTGCGTTGTTTTCCATGTCTCCTAACAGGGGAATATCTGCTTCATTTCACGGTCTGCACATTTTGAAGTGGTAAAAAACAGGAATTTTCAGAAAACATTGAATTGTAATATTCCAATAAATATTTATCTGTATTCTTATGAAGTAACCTTATGAAAATTTAGATTAAACTCTTAAGAACGATACATATCACCTGACGCTTCATCGTAAACGCAGCATCAATGCTTAATCAAATTTAAAACGGTCCGTTTGCGTTTCAAATAAAAATTTCAAGTTTCTACAAATATTCGTTACGGTCCATCTCAGGCAAGACCTACTTAGTGCAAAATAAACATCTGTTGGGACCACGGTCCTGCAAAGGTCTGCGGGTGAGGTACTGTAAAATACTTAAAACGTCAAAGCAATAAACGCACTATATTTTTGGTCGTATTATAACAAGGAAAGTGATATGATCGTCTGCGGAGTAGTCAAAAGAATCATTTTTATATCAATGTGACTGAGCCATGATCGTTAGTTTCAGTATTAATCAAGGTTTAATTAACTTCCCCCCGGAAAACTTTAGCAAAACGGAACGAATTAGGACCGAATTGTTTATTAGTATAATTTGCAGACACAAGCCCAGGATCAATATCACCAACAGCTCCAAAAGAAGTAAAGCCGACTATTAGGTTGGCCTAAATTGTTTCCAGAACTTGAACTTGAAGTCTCCTCAAAATTTTTAAGATCCGCCTTAAATGTACTTGCCAAATATGCCCTTTTCTCGGCTCTCGCGTCGGAGTTTACAAAATTTCTCAATTCTCGGTACTCGTTTAAAGCACTATCTGACTTAAGACGTGTGTATCTTAAACTTGACTTATTTTTAAGTTTTATTAAAAGTTTAAGGTTTTGGGTAAGCCAAGGGACTCTTAATTCTAACTTTTTTTAGTGGAGGATGAATATAAATAAATAATTCATATTATTCGCAAGAAAGTGAACTGCGGAATGTCGAAAAATCTCTAATGGTGCGATATTAAATATCAAAAAACAAAGTATGGAATGTTAAAATTCAAAATTCTAAATTTGTTGTAGACACTAAAACTTCTGTAAACGTCCTACAAGGTAAGTAATGGGACAGAAATAAAAAATAAATGAAAATTTGTTTTAAAAAGGTCCTCCAATTTAATTTCTAATAAAATCTTTGCCAACCCTCGTAAAACTGGCTCACAATTGTACAATTGTAACACAAAACCGAACTTCCTGACTGCTAATATTAGGGTATTCAAAATATAATGAGGGTCAATAAACCAGTACCATGATACGGGCATAATGAGCCTTAAGTCTCTGACCCAGGAAAACACAAATGATCATGGCGAAAGTAAACAAATAAAAACCGCCGCCAATACGAACTTATTTGTTGTTTTATTTAGTTTTTTTTATATCAACCAGTTTGGATACTTACAAGAAGGTTGTAGTTTAGTTTATTATTATTTATTTTTTGTTAAATACATCCAAATGTATTATGATTTGTTTTTTAAATTTGCGAGTCCGCTTTTAATACAGGCGCAGCACAAAAGTAATAATTCGATTTTTAGATCTGCTTTTTAATCAACTTTAATAAATAATAATAATAATAAATTTTCGTTATTTGTGAAATTTTTGCGAAATCATAAAGCATTTCTAATTTTTCAAATTTTTGGTTGCACCCTAACTAATTTTGACAAGTAGCAGTTGACAAATATTGAAGATTTCACTCAACTAATGGTTCGTTTGGATTTCAATTGGACTTTTTGGCAATTTTATGGTTATCTTATTTATTTAAATGCATTTGCATATGTGCATCGTTATATGCGTTTTCATTATATGAAAAATTATTAACATTAGTGTTATTTTTTTTTATTTTTATTATTTTTATTATTTACAAAAGTTGGATAAAATTAAATACGTGTAGGTGATTTTAGAAGTGCTTTTTCAATTTTACAATTTTTAATTGCTTATATTTGTCACATAGAACTACGAAATTATTTTTGTGTGAACCTTGGTTCTTTTAATAGCGTAAACTTACTTTTATAAGCAATATTTTTTAAAAATTGAACCGAGGTCGTTTTTACTTGATGAAAATCCATTTATCAAAATAAATAAGAACTAAAAGTTTAGATTTTCAAGAAATTATACATTTTGACATGACAATTGTTTCGACAACACCGTGTCTTTATCAAATGTAATATTTACGAACAGTACAGAAAACGGGATTCACACAACATTTATGTAAAGGTGATACGTTCTGCATTGTCTCATAGACTTAATCTCCTAGAATTTGACACATTTGATTATAATGACATTTCATCTATCATTCATAAAAAGTTTATCAGACAAAATCTATAGTTAGACAAATTAATTTCTAATTCAAAAATATCTAAAAGCAAGCTAGTTATTACAAAGTATACCTACCACAAATTTTACAACAGGTTCATAAACTTAAGAGACACAACATTTTCTAAAAATGAAGTTGAATTTCTGAAAAAAAAAGAGAAAAATATCACTAGTAAAAACCATCAAAAGCAAAGCTCCTGAAAATAACATAATATTTACACGTGCAGATAAAGGGAAGACAGTCATAGCTGTCGATATCCCAGAATATATTTCAAAAACCAATAATTTTCTTTAACCAGAACTTTTCCAATGTATCAAATACGATCCTACCGAGTTATGTCAAAGACAAGTCAAGGAAATAATTACTAACTCCACCCTATTTAGTGACCGAGACAAATATTTTTTAAGAATTTTGAATCCACAACCGCCGAAATTATATTCTTTAGTTAAATTACATATAAAGATATGCCCATTAGATCAGTCGTGTCTTATGTAACAGCTCCAGCAGTTAAACTCTCAACTAAATTAGTAAATATTTTAAAGTTCCACACAGATTATAAACCAAAATTTGCAATAAAAATTCTTTTGAATTAATCAACAAAATTAAGGATATCAAAATCCCTTCTAACGCAACACTATTGTCTTTTGATGTGCAAAACTTATTTTGCCAGTATTCCCCCTATGGATGTGATTGATTTAGTAGATTTCACCCTAACTCGGAAACAGGTTTACCCATTGGTGAAACAAGATTTAT